TAGGAGACTGAATCTGCTTTTCTGAAATTTAAATTTTCAAATACATATACATGTTTTAAAACATACTTGTCTAAAATGTGTCCTCCATCCTGAACAAAATAATTCACTTTCCACTTTTCCCCCCTGCATTCAGCCTCATTCACTTCCTCTGACAAAATGTCTGAAGGTCAGTGCCAAATTAAAATGCAGGCAACCCAATTTGGTGTAGATTGGTAACATTTTGCAAAGTATTTCACATTAAAATACCACAATGTTTTCTGGGACAGGCTACATAACAGAAAAAAAAAGTTTATTTTAAGGTTGGCAAATTTCACTTTCTTCACCAGATTTGAGAAGATGGTAGGTGCTGTATGTGTATGGTCCTTTAACATTATTGGCAACCACTTACATCTTGCAAGGTGAAGACTTTTTTGGATGGACTATGAAACCTTTTACTTAACTGCAAGATCAGTAGATTTGGTGATTTTATGTTAAATCACTGTCCTGACAGCTAAGATAGCTATACAGTTTGGTAACAGTTTGGAAGGCACCGGGAAGATCTGGCAGTTGGAACACCAGAAGAACATTTTGGCTTAAAAGAATGAAAAATCTACACAGAGCTTCCACATTTAAAAGCTGACATTACTGGGAGAAGCATTTATGATACAGTATCTTTTCAGCTAGTAGTAGAAATCAAATGTCATTCTAAAATGCATCTTGGAAAAGACTAGCAATGTCCTTTCACTGCATGAGATTGATACTGTGATAGAGTACATGTATCATCTTTTGTAAAATCCAAGTTGGACATAAATCTGAATTCTCCATTTCAGTCTTCTGGCCCAATCCACTAATTTGCATTTCCCAGCCTTTCTTAAAACAGATGATGATGAATATGAAGGTTTGAATATATGCAATAGTTACTGAAAATTAAAATAAAATTATAATAAACCTTGTTAAATTATTTCACTGCTTTCTGAACTTGCTAGAACAACAGTGTGAAAATACTATTCCTGGACTGTGTTGCTTTGTTGGTATGTAAGGCTAACTGAGATGTCACTAGGGGGCATTGTTAGACCACATGAGGAAAGACCTACTGCCAATAAAATATACATACATTACCATGGCAACTAGATTTTTACTCTGTTCTTTGTGGAATATATTTCACATGTCTTCTTTGCAGGTCAGCTACTACTGGGACTGTACACTGCTGTCAGGGGTGTGACACTGAACACTTGACATTTGGGTGAATCGTTCTTTTTCCATCTGCTATATCATTCAGTTAATCATTCAAAACTTTATATATAACTATATTAAATGTATACTTTATGCAGGTTAATGTCATTCAAAGTGCTTTACAGATGACTGACATAACAGACATAACAGATGTGAAAACTTCTGTTAATACATACAGTATTGAAACTCAGACATTTTGAGGACTCTTCAGATCGGCTCTGAGAAATGCTTGAAGAAGTTCTTCAAGCCAGAGAGAAACACCATTCAGGGTCACGATTACAGGTCAGCGCAGCACAGTGGCTTTATAATGGGATGAAATGTGTGAACTCCAGGCAGTGCTCCGGTGTCTCTTTCTGTGAAAGGTGATGTCAAGGTTCAGGACACAGCGCACACTGTTGGTTTGAGTGGTAATTAAGCTTTTTCTTTATAGCATTACAATTAAATTTGAACCTTGTGGGTAAGGAGCATGGCATGGAAAACTGGACAGTGAAGAGTTTTATTGATGTTATATACAATTTTTTGTTTCATTTTGTTTGTTAGTGTACTGTATTTACAATCAATAAAAAGCAAAAATATTACTTCAGAGTTTTCCACTGTATTAAAATGCATATGCACTCATAAAACTAATGAATAAGTGAAATGAAATGGTCTTGGTTAACTAATGGTTTAAAGTTGAGACTGTTTTCTTTAAGGTGTGCATACATGGTGTGTTGCAATAGTGCAGACAAAGCACCACTATATTACACAAAAACATTTAAAGGCCTAGGTTCAATTTACAAGGTATGCCTGGAAATTAAAATCTGCATAAAGTCAATCTATATAGATATTGTCCCAAATAAAGAAAAGAAAAAGAAAAAACATGCCTGCTTTTTGATATGAAACTGCAACATTAAACTTTGCTAAAGAACATAAAAAGAAGCCTGATGAATACTGGGAGCACAGATGTAACCAAGTTAAACTTGTCTGGCTCAGATGATGTCCACCATGTTTTGCGTGAACCTGGCCAGGACTATTACTACAACTGCATAGTCCCGACAGTGGAGAACAGAGGTGGCAGAGTGATGAAATGGGACTGCGTGAGTACAAAAAGTGTTGGGGAGATGGCATTTATAAATGGCACTATGAATGCCTGTGGATATACAAAAATACTGGCTGACAAGATGACTCCCAGTCTCCAGAAGAGGAATATTCCAACAAGATAATGATCCAAAGCACAGTGCCAAAGTCACGCAAAAGTTTCTAAAGAATAAAAAATATCAAAACTATGACCAGGCCAATTATGTCGCCTGAGTGGAATCCAATAGAACACCTTAGTAGTATTTTAAAGATAACAACAGAGCAACAACAAACACTAAACATGAGCCTTAATTCAAATGGAAAGGCACTGTTTTATTGTACTTAAAAAAAGAATAAATACTTGGGAAAACATTTACTTGTGAATCACCCAGAACTTCAACAAATCATTAGATCTTAACTGACTCATTAGGACTTGTGAGGAAGATCAACAATTGCCATTAATTACAAGTTAATGACAAATCCTGAGCTGATCAATTGTCTGACTCCTCAAACACTGTGGTAACAGTCAACAACCATGGGTTCCTCTGAGCAGCTGAATGTGGATCTGAAAATAAAACAAATCACTTCCTCCTAAGGAAGAAGGCTTTCAGCTGGAAACCTCCACTGTCTGAAATTTCATTCAGAAATGGTACTTAAGGGGAACTGTAGAAGTCAAGACAAGATGTGGATTTCAGATAAAACTGCATGTCTGCTAAGCAGCAAAGCAAAAATGAACTACCACATAACTACAAAGGAGCTGCAGGAAGGTTTAGCTGACACAGGAGTTGGGGTGCACTGTTCACCGTGCAGTGTTCATGCACAAAGAAGGTCCACATGGACGAGTCATCAGAGAGCATTTGAAGGAGAGAACACCGTGCCAACTGTACAACATGTGGCTAGAAATATATTACCTTGGGGCTGTTTGGCAGCCAGTGGCACAGGAAGCACTGCACAGACAAGGAGAAGAATAAATTCCACTCAATGTCAGCAAATTGTGAATGTAAATATCATGCAGTCAGTCGAGAAACTGAAAATGAAAAGCGGCTGGCTTCTACAACAGGACAATGATCCAAGTCATTTCTCAAAATCCATCATGAACTAAAATGTGAGCTGAAACTTTAGCGATGAGCCTCACAGTCCCCTGACTAGAACAGCAGAAATGCCAGACAGGGATATAATACATGCTTTACATTAATCCAACTGATTGACTAATTATCTATTTTAAAAAAGGGCGTGCTCATCACAATGTTCAAAACCTCCAGACTAACTGATATACGTGGCTTATTTTGTCCAGCAAGTCCAATCTCCAAAGGTATACAGTTCACTGTCACTGTAGACTAAGAAATTCAGATAATCTAAGAAGTTGGAACCACTGATTTGTTTAGAATCTTTAATCTCAGAAAATGACCTAAATAATTAATTAATTGTTGAAATTAACTCACTAATTGTTTCAGCTATTTTTTTTTATCTCCTGAGCCCTTAAAAATCATCTGGGGGTGGGTCTTAGTTTAGCTTTCAGATAGGCTCATTAAAGCTGATAGTGTGTACAAATGGGTTTGTATAATTACATGTAGATTCTCTTGAAATGTTTGCAGTTCTAGCAGAGAACATCTGAAACCAGTGTGACATGTTGCTTATTATATGTGAAAGTCACTTTTTGTTTTAGAATGCCCCCTCTCCACATACCTGCACTTCACATTCCTTCAGACGCCTTAACGAGCACTTAACATGACAAGAGTAAAGCACACAACACAGTTTTCATGCTTGTAAGTGCTAACTGTGTGTGTTCACATATTAATGTGTGTGCTGCATCTGGAATGGCATGTGAGACCGGGTGGGTGTGAACTTGTACCACAGACGTAAATACAGATATATAGCCTACAGTCTATGACTTGTACAAACACCTTCTACACTAGAGCTTTCTTTTGTATGAGGGCACGACATGAGCACGTGGCTGGATCTAGGGGGTGGCTAGGGTTGGCAATGGCCACCCCCAGAATCTGACTGGCCACCCCTGGTGCCACTCCTGCCAGAGTCAAAATGTGATGCTTCTCAGTATTAATGAAAAATAAAAAACTATGACAAATGGTTGGCTTAAACACAGCTAACATGTTTCTGGTGCTTTATAATTGATACTGGTCAAATTACTTCAAATTAATATTGGTCAAATTTTATGTCATGCATGTAGCATATGTGTGCCTCATTCTTACACAAAATAAACAACTGGATTTTCTTAACAATGTATGGTTTATTGTTTCATAGTACTAGGGGTTCAATTTACTCTTTATGTATTTCAAATGTGCCACCCCTCTCTGAGTCTGTGCCCCAGCCTGGCCACCCCACTCAAAGTTTCTAGATCCACCCCTGCATGTTAGGGCTTTTATAAAGTAACTACAACAGCATTTGTCCATTGAAATTATAGCTACAGTAGCTGCTTTTTTGTCTCCTTTAAATCTGAGCAGGTGAAGAGTGGAGGACGGGGGATGCGGTCATTTAGAATCAAAGGACAACCTCTGTAGCTCTGTTCATCCATCTATGTAAGACGGATGAACAGAGCTACAGAGGTTGTCCTTTGAAACGAGCACTAACACACACAGCCTAACCGAGGTTCATAAAGTGGCTCAGCCTCGTGTTTTGCATATCATTAGTACACTGTGCGCAGGTGCTCTGGAATTCGTGATTGGGGCAAAAAGCCATGACGACATGACTGACATTCATTACGCGAGCGTACGTGCAGACTGAACTATTTCACCGCGCAGACTGCGGGTTATGTGACAGTGGTGTTTCCACTCACACCGTCTTGTGCGTGTCCTTTGACCTCTGTCGCTTCTAAAATAGAGAAACAACCTTGCGGGGACTTCACTCATAGCTGCAGTTGTTGTCTGCACAGTTTTGTCCGTCAGTCAAAGTTTCACATGCTGGGCAGCTGAGGTAAAACAGTAAGCACAACCTTTTCTCATAGTATTCCTGCTATGCGACGTTAGTTGTTGGCAAAAGAAGTTGTCATCACTTTATTTCTTGAACACCAACTTCTCCTGGGAGATTTGAAAATAAAACCTCAGCACAAGACTGTTTCTCGTCTTATGGGTAAGTTGCACAATATTTAACTTTATCCTGCTGTGAGAAAAATATTGTCAACTTTGTCATAGAGACACATTGTGATAAGTTGCAATTTTAGTATGAAATAAACACAAACCATCCTTATGTAACGCTGCCTGTTGCATTTTTATCAGCTTAAATCAGGGGCCAGGTAATAGTTTACCTGAGTGCTGCCTGATCCCTGTGGAGCTCAGAGACAAAAATACAAACAAACAACAACAGGACAAAAATGAATCTGTACAGGCTGTTGGAGCCAAAGTCTCACACCTCACAGTGAATGATATCCTAAACAGGTTTTGATAGGACATTTTTTTCTTGGCTTTCTGAGGCTTTGATTGCCACGTGCCAGAGAAACCGTATTTTATTTGTCTCTGGAGATTGGCTTATTTGTATACAATGAAGACATTAGCATTTATAATAATATTCAGGGATGGTGAAGTTTTCTAAACACATCTGTTAAAAGTTACATGAAAACTGCTGCGTGGAAAACCTCTATATTTGAAATGCAACAATTACAGTTTACATTAATACATTAAACTGGGCAAATCTTTTAATATTTAATGTCATATGTCAAGTCTTTTTATAGTACGTTGTAATCTCTTCAATGTGTGTCACCTTTTTGTTTTTGCTATCTAGGATAATGGTGGCAAACAAGTTGCCCAGAGCACTGGATGCTCAGTCCTCTGAAACTGGCATGTTCAAGCAGCTTTGTCAGAACAAAATGGGGCGAGTCTGCCTTTGTATGACCCTACTTAACTGAAATGTGCTAATTGGGGAATGTTGTGAACCTCACTCCCTGTGGTGATGTTTGGGCCAAGCTTTCAATAAATTAATTTACGGTACAACAAGTAGTTACGTGAGAAACAGGTCAGCTTTTAATTAAAAATGCGAATGAGATTTAGGGTTTTTGTGTTCACTCAGGCATGGTATGCTTTCTCTTCACTTCCCTTCATATGCAGAGTGTTTTGTGGTTTTACATTATGGCAGTATACAGCATGTGAAAGTGTGCATATATACAGTGCATGTTTGCAGTAGCAGCCGGCAAATATGCCAATACACACAGCATGTGTGCACACATCTGAGTTGTGGGGATGGTTGTTTGTGTGTTGCATCAACAGTTAAGTCCAGAATGAACTGCTACAGGCCTGTTTCTTACTATAACAAATATATAGCATTTGATAAAATTTGGTAAAGACTTCTTCTACCGCCACAGGATGATTCTTGATTTGCTGACTTTTTATGTAGTGCCTTACACAGGCCGAGTCTAACACTTTATGAGAGAATTCCTTAAAACTAATAACTCTACTGTCTGTTTTTCTGTCTATGAGAAACAAACTACTGTGCAGGGTGTTGTGACTAAATGGTTTTTCACAAAAATGAATGGAACCTTCCACAACGGTGGCTCACCGACATTTTTGAGTTTATTAGAGGCAGAGAAAGGATGATAAATTCTAAATGTCAGCTGAAGATGAGTTTGTCTGAGTGCACTTCCTATGAAGCAAGTGCTTGAATGCAAACTGACAGTGGATTCACACTGTAAACATCCTAATGCTTCACAGCTTGAAATGCAAATGAAAACTGTCCAATGTAGTAACACTGAGAGAACGTATTGTAAATGTAAAAGTGACCCATAAATCGCCTCCTGCTACTTTTTCAGAGGTTGTACACACTGTCACCCTGAGGCAGATATATCCAGCATGTGTTGCCACATGCCTGACATGCTGTCTCCACCTGCTTACTCTGCCTTCCAGAGAAATAGAAGAGATAATTGCCTCTCAGCAACCTTTGTAATTGTATAATTGGAGCCTGTCAGAGGAGTTTAAAAATTTCACTCACAACCTGGCTTTACAAAGGTGGCAAACTGAGAAAAACACCTCCATAGCTTAAATTTTATGGAACAACTATTAAAATATATTGTAAAGATGTAATGGTATTTGTAATTTTGTGATATCTCAATAGAAAATTTTTTGATACCTTCATGGGACTAAAACGTATCTACCAGGATATTACAGGGTTAGTTTGTTAATATAACTGTGTTCAGGTTGCAAAATTTGAAACTGACATAGCCGATGCCCCATCATTGAGTTTTCCAGCTGTTAAGTGGCAACATTTCAGTTTTCCTATTTCAAGAAATGACACAGGTGGAAAGGAAACTGACAAACACTAAATACTGCTGGCTGGGTGAAGTCCAATTAGGGCTGAGACAGTTCTAGATACATTTCACAGAAACAGTCAGAGCATGGCCATGAGCTACACTTTAACAGAGATGAGCAAAAAAACCAGATGAACATACACAAAACCAACCACTTAGTAACCACACTTAAGTATTTTCTCTTGAAAAAAGTAAGCTGCACTGTTTGAAAAACATCTCCAGTAAAGTACAAATCTCACCTTTATCTGGCTTGTCCTAGTGTAGTTCAGCATCTTCACCTCGTTCTGGTGTGCCAAGCAGCAGTGTGCTCACTACTGTCCCTGGTGTTCAATATCTGCTTTAACTGGTCCAGTACTGAGAGCCTGACCACCAGACGGAGAAAATTAAACCTACCTAGGGGGTATTAAAAACATTGATGTTCCAGTGTGAGTAAGGCTCGTTGTGTTTTTTTATTTTAATTCATAAAAAGACTGCTAATGACTTCATTATTACCTCCGCCAAAGAGGTTATGTGTTTGGTTCTCTGTGTGTGCGCACGCGCATTGGTTAGTAGGATTACTGACAACCAGCTCGATGGTTCATACTTGGTACACAACCCTAGGAATGATTAGATTTTGGCTGAAAAGGGTCAAAGGTCAAGGTCACAAAAAATTCCCATCTTTAAATGGGGCCAAAAAGAAAAAAAATTATATCTCTGTCCGAAGTGATCAAAATCACTTTTTGTTTGAAATTTGTCACACACAACATGACACACACACCAGACCAGATTTCATCTGGATTTAATGTGAATTTCGGATCTGGGAGCCATTTAAAAATAACATTGAAAACCCCATTTAACTAATATTTTCTGCCATAACTTGGCCGGAAATGAAGATAGAACCCTGGAATTATCAGGTAAGATGCACAGTGTAACTGCCTATTGTATCCTAAAAGATCTGGATCCGATCTGGATCAAGGATTTTAGAACACATTATGTGTTGTTCTGGATCTCATTTTTCACAAGAGACCCATATGCGTAAACAAATGTTGTGCCTTGGCGGAGGTACGTCCGCTCTCTGAGTACTTTTATTTTTTATATAAATTGTACAAAAACCCCACAGATTTAGTCTTTAGTAAGGGGTCTTTTTCATATTTCAGCTCAATGCAGCTTTAATGATGCTTGGTTGGCTCAGATGAACTAAATGGGATGGGCACTGATGTGTGTATTTGGTGAGGGAATTTATTGCTCTCTCCAGAGGACAGCCAGTCCACATTTGGAATGCTTGTGAAATATTTACAACATGCACTAACACAGGAACTCACCACCATCAACACTGTGGTTTAAAATAGAGGAGTCACAGTCAGAAACAGGCTGTCTTCAGCCCGTTTGTCTTTCCTGCCTTTTTAAACATTTGCTAACAGATTTGCTCACCCATCATGCGATTAAGCTTGTCCTGTGGAAATTTCTTTAACATTCTCAGTAAAACTTTCCAGCGTAGATGCCTAAAGTCTCATTACCATAGTGTCTGGCTGTCTGCCTCTGAGCCCTCGCAACTCAGCCAAGAGCAAAGGTCATGACCTCTCCAGCCGACAACTGTTTGGTGAAATCAACACCTCACATGGGGGTACAAATAACTTTGCACCCTGTCTGAATTGGAATCACTTTCTTCATTGATGAGAGGAGCGAGAGGATTGAGCTTTGACAGCAGTAACATATGCTCTTCTCAGCCTCCTTCCACCTTCTGCATTCCTCCTAACCAGTGAGGAACATGGTTTGCTGGCACTTGAAATGCTCTTCAAGGCAATGAACAGTGCTCTCACTGTTAAGACCCCTCTTATGAGACAAACACTGACTTTGAGACAGATGCAGAAATGAGTTGAGACATATACAGCACGTTGCCTTGTTGACAGTGACAGCATGTCCCATTTGCCAGAATGTGAAGTAAACATCCGCTCAGCTTGAGGTCACCTCCAGTAGATTTTTCAGTAGATCACTGCAAACTATGTTTTGTTTTGATCCTAGAATCTGTAGAGGAAACTTCAGATTATAGGATAGTTCAAAATCAAGGCATGTCACACAATCACAACTAAATCTGACTGTAGAGCAGGCATCTGTGTGGACACCTAATTATAAGAAGTCTTGTCCTGTGTTTGGTAAGAGTGAAGAATTTTGCTATGATTAATGGCTTCCATGTTCATACATGCTGCCCTGCTATAAGGCTGGGATGATGTACAGTCAAAAGAAAAGGTAATGGCATAGTTTGCATTTTCCTTGTTTTCTGAATAAATTGGTCATGAAATGTGGTCTGATCTTTACCAAAGCCAGAAATAGCATTTCCAAGCTAGTAAAACACAAACACGATCTTTCATGTTTTTACCAAACACACCCATTAAACATACAAAGTCGGAGCCCATACCTCAAGCCAATAAAAATCCAGTGGAATGACCTCAAGAGAGCCGTTCTCATCAGACATCCTAAAAATGTGGCTCAGCTGAAGCAGCTGAAGGAAGAATGGTCCAAAATTCCTCCTGAACATTGTACAGGTCTAATCCACAGCTACAGGAAGCACTGGCTTGAGGTTATTGCTGCCAAAGGTGGTCAGTCAATTAAAACACTATTGCCATTACTTTTTCCATCATTGCTTTGAATGTTTAATGGGTGTGTTCAATAAAGACATGAAAGGTCCTGACCGTTTGTGTTTTATCAGCTTAGAAATATTGTGATATTTGTGACTTTGGTGAAGATCAAAGCACATTTTATGTTAATGCAGAAAACTCAGTAATTGCAAATAGTAATTACTTTTTTTGTGACTGTATATGAGTCACAGTAGGTGATGAGAAACTGATATCAGGCTAAA